CACATTCATTGTTTAGATTGTAAACATCTATTTTTAATTTTTATTGTATTATTGTACATAATGTACACCGTGTTTACGATATATTTGTATGTATATCACAATGTATCTACCAATACGTAAGCTGTGATAGCGTAATTCAGAATTTGTGATGTAAACAATGTATTGCTATATATCCCCAGCATTTTCAATGACCATATTGTATTTTACTTGCACAAGTACAAGTGTTGTTTATATGCGCTATGAATATAAATATATCATTATAAAACTCATTTAATAAATAACTCAACAAAATAATCAAGAGTATCAAGCAATAAAATGCAGAAAATTCTAGCAAAGACACATTCAGATAAATTGATATAGTCCATAGATACATGTGTCTCTGGTCACTTATTGGAAACGTAACAGATTCTTCAGTGCTATCTGGATCCATCTAGGATGTTATGCGGCTTTTAGTCATAATTTCAAACGATACTTTGATCAAAATTAAGGTTCGGATATCCAACGTTTTAACATAGAGTATGAGGGTGCACAAACATATTGTTTTTTCGGTCGTTGGTTAGAAAAGTGCTAGAACAAATCGACCCAAGGAATAAAAATCAAGACACCTATAAACAAATTTATAGCGCCACTTAATCAAATGAAGCGTTGCAAACAGCTGGCTGTCCCAGACCTCGCGTGATTGTGACACGCAGAAGCAACACCATCATCGACAACAACTGTGTCAACTAGATGATACGATCAAGCCAGTCAAATAACTATATAATATAAATCGGAGAAATTGAAAATTCCGGGATTTGATATAGGTAATGTTACACTGATTCTACGCAGATTAAAAAGTCCATATACATGATGCGTTCATTTCTCATTGACACCATCAACTTCAGTATGCTTGCCCGCGAGCTTTTAATAGAAATATAGGGAGACTGTTTCATATGGCCTGCGAACGTTATTATGAAGTTTAAGCCCACGATTCACGTGTGACAAATGTTAAAAGGCAGATGTATTCGCTATTGCCAACAAAATATTATTCCCTAGGGAAGAATTCTACTTATTTAAACTGCTATCTCTCCAGATTCGCCAATGCTATACATGAAAAGGATCAATGCCCTTTAAGCTCTCGTTGATGATATAAAGAGCTGTACAGAGTTAGAATGGAGAACAGAAGCCTGATAAGTTCGTTGTTTCAAATGACACTCATTTAAACGTTTTCCGATCAAACGTTTGAATGTTCTTGACATAGAAAACGTTTAGAACAATTTAACGTGTAAACGTCCAGCTATGTGTTTAAAACTATCGCTTTGAAGTGTTTTCTACAAAAAGCAATAACATTTTATCAGAATATAATTGGGTAAAAATATGATTTATCCTTTCGTGAATATTTTAGGCTAACATTATAGGACCAACCTTGACCTATCACATACAAATAAGGATACGTAAAGTTTTACGAAACATATTTCAAATTTAATATACTGAGTGAAAAAAAGGTAAACACCTACCTATGTTTGTCCGATTTGAATAATTTTTTGCATATATATGTTCAGTGTCCCTTATTAGTAAAATGATTAAATTTTCAGCTTGATTCGTCAACTGACCGCAGAAGCTGGTTCAATAATGTGTTGAGTACCACGATTTCTTATACACTCATTGACACGTCTGGGAATCGTGCTGATTAGGTGGTCGATATCCACTTGGGGTATATGATTCCAGGCTACTGCAACTTTGTGAGCAAGAGCTGCTAAAGTCTGTGGAGGGTGTTGCAAATTCAAGAGTCTGCGACCTATCATGTTCCAGACAGGTTCAATTGGAGATAGGTCAGGCGATCGTGGTGGCCAAGGTAAACGGTTGATGCGATGTTGATCCATGAAGTCTAACGATGCTCTGGCAACATGCGGTCTGGCATTGTTTTGATGAAAAATCAGGTTTTGGATGGTGTTTAGGTATGGAATGAGATGAGGCTCCACTACTTCCTGAATATAGCGTCGTGGTGTCATATTGTCTCTGATGAAAATTAGTGGCGACCTGCTACCATAAGCAATAACACCCCTTACCATAACTCTGTCAAATTGTGGGTCACGTATTTCACCACGTCGCCTACTGTCAAAAAATAACAGAAAACGTTCTTATAAACATCGGTCCTAAAATTTAGTATGTAGTACTAACAGCATAGCCAATACATACAAAGATTTTTGTGCCTGTGGCTACATCTGTGGCGTAGAAATTGGAAAATTTTTACTGCTACCGAAGAAACAAGAAAATTATTTGCTACGTCACTGACTTTTTTGAAACATCTGTTGCATTTTCGAATATGATATGTTACCGGGCATGGCGACATGAAGTCCTGTCGACAGTAATTATAACTCCGACAAGTCGGAATAGACGGTTTACTGGTGAAGATCGGTCATCTATCTAAGAAATGAATTCCGTCAGAGGACCCCGCCCAAAACATACGGAAAATGGGTCCTAGTAGATTTGTCTGAAAATTTAGTATGATATATTTTTCGCTTTTCTGAAAAAAAGTTCTAATCGGAATAAAACAATCCTATAATTAGTTTCTGAAAAATAGGTGAAGTTTGAACGACTTACAAATATGGTAAATATTCTGATTGTAGTTCTCAGACCAAATACGCAGAGTTGATATAATGAAGAAAGTATTTAATTGAAAAAACTTCTAGGAACGGGTATCGGGAGGGCAATTTAAGGGTATGCGTTCTCTTATACGTTGACACTCACGTGGATTTGGCATGAGTTGTTGGAGAATTCATAGAAACTCATTCAAGACCTGGTTATTTAGTTGTCATTGATCATGACCCTTACAAGGTCAATTCAAGGTCATGCTGAATTTGAAGGCGAAAGAGAAAAAGTGCATTAATGACAACATAGCCTTGTGTTGTAATTTATTGATTATTATTTCATTTTTTGTGCTTTGGTCTGCTTCCGGCATATCGAACGGTTTGCGTCAAAGATAACGAACTCCAATTCGTGGAGAACATATGAAAAAAAAACATGTGAGCCTAGGGTTTGGGCGCCAGATTTGAATCTGCAATATTGCCCATTAATTATTGCATAATCGTAAATCCTTGTTATTTTCATAAACTTGTCGATAAGATATTCCACAGTCGGGTTTCTAAAACGTGAGTAAGTTCCTTGTGTGGATGGATACCTGCTACTTCATCTAACCCTAGACCTTCGTTTGGGTATGGCGCTGATGCTAACAGGTGAAGCGCTAATGCATCATTAGCACCTCCCACAAATAATAACCGGAGGATGATATCTATTAATACTCGGTACATGCTGCATTTGAATGGTTTTCTCGAGGGATTTGAAAATCGATTCTATGTACACGTTTACCATTTTCGCAATTCTGTACACTTCTTCCCCCTATTTCTCAGAAACTAGTCATAAGGTTCCTTTGGTCCCAAGAAGACATTTTTCCAGGAAGACGAAATATATATCACACTGAATTTTTGAATAAACCGACTTGGACCTATTTTCCATATGTTTTGTGAAGGGTCCTTTCTGCGACGTAGTTGGATTGAAAACCTAACTAAAAGAATGAGATATATCATCAGCTTAGAAATTTCATAAATACAGTATAGTGTATGTATACTACATCTTTCTTGATTTTCTTATTTTCTATATTTTTCGTTCAATTGTTTCCTTCTAACGTTTATCCTATAAGATACGAACGATGATGATAGAAATGATAAATATGAAAAAACAACAATCCCATCTTATAAGTGTACGAAGTACTACCCTGTATCTTTTCACTTTTATTATGAGGGTTGTGCATAAACAACTTAACAAGGGCTCCAATGTCAGGATAATTTTAAAGCCACTTACTTGGTGACGTAACGACAGGGTAGTTGTCCTTCCTTGGCGAGATACTATTTTTGAGAAAAACCTTTTGAGTACCGTCCATATTCTACTGACTCATGACATGCACAACTCTACTGTCTATTCGTTATGTTAATTAGCTGTCTTTATATTGATCATAAAACAATATTATAATAGCCGTGGTATTCCTCAACTATATCAGAAATTATAAAACGTTACATGGGGGAACGGTAGCATCCTACCGCATGGAAGTCGCATCCTTGTCAATAACCAGCGGATATCATGTTGCCGTGTCAAAACATAAAAGCTGCGACGTTACCTCTGATTCAAAGATAACCGGGCAATATGACAACTTTAAAGTTACAATCCCTATACATATCCTTCCATGAGATACAGTCCAGCGCTTGCCACGAGAGGAAACTAAGCGGTCACACAGACTCAGGATATCACATCGGCCAAAAGGCCGTTGTGTTTATATCCAAAACTCCGACATTTCCCCTGACAGAGGAAACCGATCTGTAATTACCGCCCCTGGCAACCCGGCTCTGTAAGTCTCATAACAACCCCAACGATCTGGAGGCGTGACATCTCTGTAGATGTTTGACTCTATGTTACGTCTAACTTTAACTCAACTATTGATATATGTACATATGTCATCTGACTAATCTTTCTTGACTTGACAATTATTATCGTGTTCATAAGGGTACCATGGTTAGAAAATACACATGACGTGTAGTACCGTAGAACAATAAAAGATACTCAGCAAAAACCCTGACCGTTTAATTGATCGAACCTTGACCTGAACTTGACTTAGGCACTATTCACACAATCACAACACACACATACACATCGACCTTTCAACTGTCAGAACAATATTCGATTGAACTAAGAGGCCCTGTGGCTCAGCGTGCCCTTGTTTTAACGAATTTTCTTACAGTTTACCAGGGTCGTAGCATTAACAGTGTCAAGTGAACCTCACTTGCAGAAAAGAGTCTAAAATATTGTGTATGCTTACAATCCTTCATTCAGACTACTTCAACCGTACTATGGGCCGTGAAAATGATAACAACAATAAATGTCTGAAGGAGGGAAAACGAACGAAGACGGCGGCGTTATATAACTATGCAACATTCCATTTTAACGTGTGCGTATTTTCTCTTTTACAGATTATGCTAACCTTCTTCTGGACAGCGACATGTCTCTTTTGCAACTTTTTAGCTGTTCAAGGTAAGACTAACTAACCGCTCTTTCTTCATTTCTTCTCTTGCACTTTTGAAGCACTAGCCTCCATTGTACGTGTTCAATATCGATCTGACTACCGCATCTAGTACAATGAAACATTCCGGCAGAAAATTTGGTATGGATGCAGTGATTTGAATCGTCGATATCGCGTCGTACCTAATGTAGTGCAAGTCATTCACAAAATAGAGATTTATTGATTTATTCACTACGCCGTATATTCACGTATAAGCAAAAAAATCGAATCTATTAATCCTTTATCTGATTGATGTGTTTCAAGCAGCTGGTATGTGAAAGAAATTCATTTTTTTGCTCTTCTCTTGTGTTAATAGGTGTTAACGCTTCATAAGAGCTTTTCAAGGTATTTAAACTTTTAAAAAGTATTATTTTCTTGCCTATATGATTACATAAATATAGATGTTGGCCACAAGCATCGCTGCCTTCAGCACTTCCTGCTTTGTTCAAAACGCTGGTACTTGCGACTTAATGGTTGGTTGCTGTATCGTCGGGAGACTGCTGACAAGGTGATGTCTCTGAAAGCATTTGGGAACATTGCAAACATCCTGATAGCAGCAGGGAAGAGAAAGGTTGGAAGACCTTCACTAGATTAAGCTACACCACCCAAGAAGAAAAAGATAACTGTTCCTAACTTCAGGATGTGCGTTATGTTGGTCTTGACCATTGGCCCAGCCATGTACCCAAAGAAGGTTGCAGATATTGCCTTAGTGGTTATTTAACAATAAGGTGCACTAAATGCAATTTAATTATGAGTTTTGGATCAAACAGAAACTGATGTAAAGCATTTCATACAAAACACTAAACTTGATTATGTTCTTATATCGGCAATGTTGCTGACGAGCAGCATGGCCTAATTTGCCTAAATTATGGTAATAAAGTTTTTTCAACTGTTCACTCTCGTAGAAAGGGTATATCAACCTAGCTTGAAGAACTCAAAAATTTTTTCATTTGAAATTTCAATGCTTGAAAGATAAAGGGTTAAATCGGAACATGTGCTCGCTCACGGTTGCGTGGTTTAAATGGTAGATGTGCCTATAGGGATGATCGTCGCTGCGAATTCGTATAGTAACGTTTTTAGAAAAAATGTATCAAACTTGATTAACCAAATAACGGAATTTTATTAAAACCTTGATGATGATTATTAATTATACATCCTTTGATAATAAACGAATCTACATAAGCGGTAGGAGACCATCATCCTCAACAGAACGCGGTTTGGTTAAAAATTGTCTGATCTTCGGTTGGACGATGTTCATGTCCACTTCCCGTTTTTTTTAAAAGTGCGCGCCCGCAATTGTTGTTCATTTTGAACTTTCCATCCTTATGTCATAAACCTTTCGGCACAATAACGACCAAAATTCTTTTATTGGCCAAGCATGTTTTTCTGACTGTTTCGTTAAATATTAACGTTATTCTCTTTTAATCATTTGCCAGCTTTCATGGCAATAATGGCACGAAGCGAGGTTAGGCCAAAATATGATATACTTAGTCGTTCTTTCAGTTTTCAGCAAATTAATGCAGGGTATACTTCTTGAGAGTTTCTTATTGCCCGGTAAATGGTTGGTTGCCCTTCTAACAATTTGATCTCTGAACAAGTTCACAATTTCGGCTTTGGGTAACCGTCTAATTATGATAGTCTTGTAAATTTCAAGTTTAAAGGAAATTTTGAACCAAATCCACGATTTGTTTACCTGCTTCATGTCCACTAGATCAGACATCAATATCAGGTAGAAAGTTCACGGCAACCTTTTTCTCAAAACTTTTATCCCATACATTACAAAATTCAGTCTAATAGTTAAACTACAACATTTCCATCCATCATGTGTCAACGGATGCAAATTTGGTAGGCAACACAGCACATTTTTTGGCTTTTGAATAAAGCTATAAAGGTCTGCCAAAAAAATAGCCAATCTTGGTCTATCAAACAACTTGCAATTTGCTTTAAAGTATTTAAGTTGAAGGAAAAACCTTTCCCTGAAAGATCCTGTAGATCAAGGTTTTTTTGAAGCAATTTTTAACCTTGTTTGTCAGGACACAATTGGAGAACTTTTGATTTTCACAGACTGTTTGTCTACGAGTTGATCAAAAATTGTTCTACAGGTACTTTTTGTCGATAATAGTATAACGAATGCAAAAGTCTTTAGGAATGAATTGAAAAAATAGATCTCTAGATTCACGAAAAAGTTACTAATTTGCATCTACATATAGTACTTAACTCACGGCACCCGCACCGGAAATTACTCCCAACAGTGGTGTCGTGGAATATGTTACCGCGAATTTTCGTACGTTTAGCTTACTGTGCTGACTCAGCACTCTAGGAAATTTTCATTCACATCGGACGGATTTTTAACTTGGTTGGTCGAAGATGTAGGTACCACAAAAGAACTTTGGGCTAACATTTTGACGTAAGTGGCACACGGAGCAATATGGATTATTTATCGGCTGTTAATTGCGTCCCACATACACTATCAAAATGCTAAAAACTAGTTTTTTTTAACAATAAATATAATTTGCTAGTAAGGAGTATTATCGTAGATGTTATGCGAAATAATTCAATATATACTCGTATTATGCATTTTAAATAGGCGGAACTTATCACGTTAGTAGCTATTGCATAATTGCAGGATAAACAATTTAGAACCGTATTTTGTAAATTGTGCCATATCAACTGAGTGGCCATATTTTAATTTATTCATCCCAAATTTTCATTATGATTCACTGGAACGTGCTAAAGAATTAAACATGCAGAAGATATCGGTGACACGCGTGAATTTGCATTCTACATTTTCTAATTCTTCGAATCTGTTAGCCCTTATGAAGTTATACAAAAAAACAGAAAAATCGTGTATATTTATCAAGGACATTTTAAAAAAAGCCGATCAGCTAGGTTTTTATGGTTAATACGACAAAATCAGAGGTCAATCAGTCTGTGAGAGGGGTCATATCAAGGACACATCAAGAACTGATTCAAAGTGGCATTCAAGTCCAGACGCGTGTTGCAAGTGGTTCCAGTCATTGAGATTTGTTTCTAGGAAGGCATTTGAAAGGTATTTTGAAACCATCAAAGGATACATTCAAAAAAGTTAAATAACCGTATCCGACCACGTGCAACGATAGGTTACACATGTCAATAGTTTGAAAAAGTTAGCAAAAAGCGATACTAGATTTTATCTGGCAGTTCATCAAGGTTCACAAACATAATTAATACCATTGGGGTAAAGAGCGGAACCTTATTAAAAACCTGTTTGTGTATACTAATATGAACAAGTGAAGCTTCAAATAGTAATCAGTTCAACTCGCGGTGTACAACAAAAAAAAACGACAATGTTATCTCTTTATTATGATCCATATACAGATATTCAAATGGATGATGCGGAAACTCTCCAAATTTGCCGATAAAAAGTAGTGTCTAATGCTTTACCAAAGACTTTAATAGTTTACCATGGTAAAAGTACGATAAGTAAAATTCTGATCCCACGTCCAACTTATTGTTTGGGGTATTGACTTCCAAATCGGAAATAATTTTCACGCATTTACGATACTACGTTTTTTCAATTACTGCCTGTTTTTTGAATAAAAAGACAACTGTGTGCTGTCATCAGCTCATGAAGGATTATGTTCGATACAAGTTAGCCCCCTGAGAATAAAATTAGCTACAAACATGTATAACATACAAATCAAAAGGATCAAATCAGTCAAAAAGACCTATATAGTTAGTTCATTATCCCCACCCATTTGACAACGTTACTAAACTTCGCTAACAGGCCATTCAGCAAGTGCTTAGACGTCAGATATCTAGCAGCTAGCGAGTATAAGTTTGTTGCGTTGTCCTGCTTTGAAAATATTTCTTTATCATGCTAAATTATAAGGGCGAGTGTGCAGAGGAACCTATGATGTGTGGAATATGTTATATGTATAGGTGTGTGGAATAACCCAAAGAAATGTGATCCTAATCCATACCCCACAACCATCAACCTCCGATTTTCAATATCTACAATTTTTTGTGAAAATGTTCAGGAGTCTCGGAAACTTCAAAAAACGTATGAGTGATTTTTATTTTTTTTCAACTCATTTTGTTTCCATTTTCAATAACGTCTTAGGCGTAGTGTCAAAATATCGTTAAAAGCAGATTGTTTCTTTTCAAGTTATGTTGCGGGCCAAGGATTAGCTGACACATCTACGGACAGACAGACCAACGGAAATGAGTTGCATGGTTTTTCGTAATGTACATCCAATGCAACATGTAACATTCAAAACAAGTATAATACAGGATGCGGCAGCATAACTTACTTATTTCAAAACTGAATAAAATCCATTCTATGAATGACCATTTTTATCTGTTTTTTATAATATAGGCTCATGCTTAAAGTTTTGTTTTACATAGTTTTGAAGATCAAATCAGACAGGTGATGCCCCCATTCTCAATAGACAGCAGATTCGTTTGCGTTTGTCATGATTCTTGCAAACATAGCCAGGCGTAATGTTGGCAATTTCTCGACCTTTCTGCTCGTCAAATATTGTGTGTCTTTGAATAGTTCACATAAACATGAGATTTCAAAAAACTCTAGTGGCCAGATCGCCTCTAATTGAAATGAGGCGCTATGGGAAGTAATAATAATGGTAAAACGTCTTAATAGGGCGAAGTTTAGCATAAGCTATTCTAGCACTTAACTTGAAAAATGTCTAACCACAAAATAAACAATATATACCCTTGAAACATTCATCGATGATCTTGAAGTGTGTGCCGTTACACCGTCTGATTAGCCCGCATTTTGGAAACAGAAGTTATGCTGCCGCACCCTGTATCCCATTTTCGAAATTTGTCGCGATTTCAATAGTTCCTCGCCAGTGGCGTGGGAAGTAACATTTGGCAACATCTATCATGTCTTAAAAACCAAAGAATTATTGAATGACGTAGCTGAACAAGATAAGAATTACTCAATTACTTTCTATAGAAAATCTTTTTAATTAGCACGATGAAGTGCTATGAGATTCATTTACATTTTTAAGCAGCTGCCTTTTTGCTAGAGTCTACTTTAGTATTCCTATTAAGTGAGTTTGAGCAATGTGAAATAATAGCCAAGTCACTTTCACATGACTCATAACTTTCTTTGGAGAGACAAAACATCCAGTATTGGTATAATGGTATAGTTTATTTATTTATTTAGTTATGATACGGAGCCTTTGTTTAATGTCAACATTCTTATTTTCTCAGGCCACCCTGCAGGCTATACATATGTAATAAACTCAGATCCAGAACCGAGAAGGACAGGTCCCCCACTGGATAAATTGAACTTCACCGACAACTGGGACTACAAGAAAGAACATTTCTTGCAAAGTAATGTGCCGATATTGCAGGAAAAACAAAGAAAACACACTCTTCCACCCACCGCTAATTGCACTGTAAGTAGGTATTCTCTTTTTGCTATTATCTTTTGATGCATGTTTTCGGAATCGCTCATTTGCGAAGCCTCCAAAATCGCTCAACATTTATAACATTTTTACATCCCACATCTACACATACTGGCGGCGAAGGATTGTACTACGTTTTTTGGATGTTACATGGACATCACGAACATTCATGTCACTCATTTCCGTCGGTCTTCTGTCTGTCGGTCTGTTCGCTAATCCTACTACCACCTATAACTTGAGTACTACTGCTCGGGTTCCTATGACATTTTTACATAATGTTACTACTATGCCAAAGACGGAAACGCTCTGTAGTTTTTGAAAATTGTATAGAGAAAAATGCCTAAAACGGAAGAAGAAATAATCGCTCAAACTTGTTTTGTTTTTAGAAGTTTCAGAGAATCTTAAGGATCTTGATCATTTTTAAACAGACTTAGGGGTGGGGGTTTTAAGGGGCTGGGGAGGGTTCACCTCAATTTTTTTATGCTGTAACATTTATACGCTCCGAACATTGGTAATTCTGCGCACCTATTAGCGATATTTCGCACATAATAGATTTCTCTGGAAAATATTTTTGGGAGAGGAATCGCGTACCTATCGGCCGCTACTGCTGCTGCCGTCATGCTCCGACCGTGATGAGTGTTCTGTTATGAAATCACACGTGTTTCTGTCGTGCAACATGCGCTGACTGCGCTACCACGGTGCCACGTCTGCCCGAGTTAGGTATCGCACAGATTCAACTTTTCAGATGCACTACCGGTAGGGCAGGGAAAGAATGTCTATGGACTAATTGTATGGACCTGTTTGACTGACTTTTTCTCAGAGGGTCTAGTTTGTACCTGAACATATTCCTTTAGGCATTGATAAAGACGTTGCCTGGTATGTGCAGTCAACCTTCTTAACGGCATTTCTTTAATATACAAAATGTGACCTAATACAGAAACGAGACGGTGTATGGAATTTTTGGCAAAACTGGGCACCAAGTTAATCGAAAAGACCTTGACTTTGGTCTAACCCTTGGAGTTGGTTACAATTTCCTACTACCACTGGATTGTTAGGGTATTTATACATTACCAACAGTTTTATTTGGCATATTGGCTAACAGATTCAATTATGGACACGTGTAATTGCTCAGACTTAGCTAATTGCGATGGTATATATATTATACTTCGCTACTTTATAATGAATTGTTTCTATTGGCTGATATTCAATAATGAATCAGAAAATGCAAGAAAGTCACAATACTCAAAATTAGTTCACAGTTCTGGAGACACGTTTGAAATGTGATATACAGTGCTTTTCTTCAGGGGAGGGAACGGATCAATTCAAAAAATTAAAACTTGAGGTAATGAAATTGATGCGTGGGTACCATATTTTAGAGTAAAATTGACAGATGACCGCTGGACGCCATATTTGAAAAAAAATTATCCGAAAACGGGGGTCTTGCGGCACATCATTTTGAAGCTCCTGACTAGAATATAAAGTCAATACCTTTACCTACATCAAAATTGTGGTACATTTAATAATTGCCTGAATACATTGACATTTAACTTGATAATTTGAATAAATACGTTGAGTTCAGTTTAGAACATACTGGAAATGGTTGCCTGGAACTTCTTGAAACAATAACAGCCGGTCCGTAATTTCGCGTCGAACATTTTCAAACATTGTAACATTCATATTTCTACAAATATTTTTATTCTCAGCCTTATATCCAATATTGAAGCAGGTTCAGTTTCGTACACCTTTTGCTTCAAATAGCCCTATAAAAAAAAATTCTAGAGGTGTCAAATCTGACGAGCGACGGTCAATCCAACGACCGGGGAAATTGTTATATGAATAATTCCTAACTTGTCTGGAATACAATATCAGTATCGAATTCATTAGGATTTGCTTCGACGATTTCGGTGATTAGAGGGTCAATAGTATTTTCCAGCATATCCAAATACAGTTTCCCCGATTAAAGTTTGTTCCATGAATAGAGAACCGACAATATGATTTCCCAATATCCCAGCCCAAACGTTAATTTTTTGTGGATATTGAGTTTCTTGGAAGACGTGAGAATTGATGTCACTGCAATAACGACAATTTTGTCTATGCACATTACCGTTGATAAAAAATGTACATTCATCACTAAAACAAATATTTTGGATATAGGTAGGATGCCGTGCAATGGTTTCTGTCATAGTCTCGCAGAATTCTGTTCTTCGATCAGGGTCATCTTCAGTTAGCTGATGTATCATTTGAATTTTGTTTGGGTGATACTTATTCTTTAGTCTCCATACAGTAGAAGGACAAACCTCACATACATTCGCGATGGAGGAAGTAGACTGTTGGAGCGTCGTTACTATAATCTCACCAATTATTTGAACTTTTCTTCCGGGATGGTCGGATGACCTGGGGGTTTTTTGTTGTTTACACTACCAGTAGCTGTAAATTTAGATATAAGTTCCCTTACAGAATTTCTACACATAGAACGATTCGGAAAACGATCATTCAAAATCCTTTCAGTCTCGTGAAAGTTACGCGTCGCATTCTTCCAATGGACGAAAATTGACCATTTTAAAAATAGTTCAAACAGTATCTAACACTAAAACCGAAAACTAAATAAGAATACCTGTATTTTAACTGTACAATGATGTTGTTTTCGTACTGATATTCTTGTGACTGACAGCAAAAAATAACAAAACAAGTTTTTATCGCTGTTGCTGTGGATACGGCAGGGAATTACAATTATTTGTAGAGATATGCATGTTAGTGGGTTTGTGTTAAAGTAATTATTAAATGTACCACCATTTTGTAGTAGGTAAAGGTATTGACTTTATATTCTAGGGTTGTAAAGTACTCGTCAGGAGCTTCAAAATGATGTGCCACAAGACCCCCGTTTTCATATAATTTTTTTCCAAGATGGTGCCCAGCGGCCATCTTGACATTTTCATCTGTCAATTTTACTCTAAAATATGGTATCCACGCATCAATTTCATTACCTCAAGTTTTAATTTTTTGAATTGATCCGTTCAAAAAATCAAAGGGCAGGGAGACATTAAAGAAAAGCACTGTTATACCTACTCGTTACAAGGATTTGTATAATCTGTTTAGTTGTTAGATAACCGTGTTTCGTAATTGCGAGGCAACTGAAACAAATTTGAATATCATTAGAATGCTTATATGAGGAAATATTTCATGAGCAGCAGACCAAAAAATCCAATACACCCATATTTAAATGATAATGTAAGCGGTGGAAATATTTGTCCTTTTATTCCATTTTCCAAGTCTGTAGGTGCTTGCTGCCCTCTTTGGCAAAACTAGCTGGCAGTAGTTACCTTCCCGCACTCGTAATTCTTGTACATATATATGGATATCGGGTCGTTAGAGCTGCGAGCCCCAAGCCAGAGAATTCAAAACTTAAATAGTATGTTGTAGAAAATACATAAAATTGGCGACCTTAGGAGTTATGGATATTATGTTACTTATGTATATATTTCTGTATTGGTTTATTTTTCAGGGCAGATTATTGTGGGAACTGGATCAAGAAAAATCAACCCATCTACCACAAATTGTAAACAAAGCACTAAAGCTTCTAAATCTGAAGCAGGTTGCGTTTGAAATTGAAAACTCGGTTATGTCAAAAGTATCCTGTACAGCTTGCAGGGCAGGTAAAAATAGAACTTTCTTAAATTAATAATCGATTATGGATATTTTTGAGCGAAAAAATACAAAGTGTGGCAAAACAGGGACATTGCTTAAAATAATAAGGAAACAGTGAATATATTCACATCTAAAACAATATAAAATTATTTGGTGTATACCAAATTAAAACATATATAGCAATTTGAAAAATAGTTACAGTAGTTCAAGAGAAGAAAGTACATAAAACAACAATATTAAGTTTCCGTATGTCACCATATTCCCTTTTTGCCTTTCAAAAATAAAATGCGTCAAAACTGCAGTTACAAAATCGACAATGTCTGAGAAGATAATGTTATTGACTCAAAGGTTTATAAGTATAATATATGCCATTGAAAATTGCCACATCATTTACAAAGGGGCATAAATAATCTTTTCTTATTATCGATGAATTTTTCGCTATTTTCACCATAACAATTATCATTATTGCAAATATAGTTAATTATTGCATATGGTGTTTTCCAGGTGCCGGGCTTCTTCAACATTATACGAAAACGGGAAAATCGGAGAAGGATATAAAAAAGACCATCTATCAGTTTTGCGTGAATTTGAAAATTCAATCACCTAGAGTTTGCGAAGGAATTACTGAACAGTTTGCTGGAGAAGTTATTTATGTTCTGGGTAAACTGAAAATTGGTGAGTCGACACATTTTGGATGTTTGGGACACGTATAATAACAAGCTTATCGTAGAACAATTAATTTATCAATATCTTGCGTTGGTATAATTTATTTATTATGTTTTCAATATTAACTGTACATTTTTTCGATAAGTGTATTTCAAAACACAGTTATTTATTACCTTGAGGTTAGTGTACTTTTATAAAAAAACATTTGATATTTGTTTTTAAGTCCGTATGGAATGGATATGCTAAGAAATTATTATCTATTATTGAGATACTTGATATTTCGGTTTTATTTTTAGTTAACTAATCTACCTATTGCCAAAGATCAATGAAACAGTAGTCACATTTGATTTGTCCTACTATGACGTTATATTGAGATCTTAAAAGTGACGTCATTCATTTGACAGATGATAACAAACATACTTATTCATCACAACGCGTCGTCAAAATGTCGAATGCTTCCAGGTTGGAATGCCAAGATAAGGATTCTTTGCATAGGGTTCTCAATACCTGTGCGAGGTAGAGCTTAGATTAAATTAGGAAAAAGCTGCGTTCTTTCAGGCGTAGCTACTTACGTTGAGATTACTAATCATTTCATGGCTTACTGAGGTATTTGAGAAAAACTAAAAAGTCAAATCGTTTTTATGTTTTACTTACTTTATTTCAATAAATATCAACAAACTAATGGAACTTTTTGATTGGCACTTTTTAGACTATACATGATGGTGTAATGAGCCCGAAGTTTCGTTTTTGAGAAACCATCATTGCTAAAATGATGATAATAAAGCAGTAATAACAATACTCAGTGACAGGTATTTACGGCAAGTCAAGCAATTGTTAGCAACGCCTACTTTATAACGAAAAATGAAAAAATCAGAATAAACTCATTTTTCCTTATAAGGAAGAAAAGAAATCTAACATGTGGAACATAGTTGAATTCGTATAAAAAATGCTATTAGATACAGGTTGCATTTTATTTCGGACCAAATAAAAAATAAAGTGGATGATGGTTTCTCAAAACCGAACCGTCGGACACAAAATTTAAAAACACCATTATGTGGTGCTTAAAAAGTGCCAATCGAAACGTTTCATTAGTTTTTTGATATTTCTTAAAATATGTTTTTCTCAAATATCTCATCTCGAATGTTTACAAGTTTCTCAACGGCATGTAAATACGCCCCAAAGAACGCAACTTTTTCCTAATTTAACTTAAGCTGTATATCCCAGATATTGAGATCCCCATGCATAGGATCTTGGACACCCTGTATAGTTTTCTTCATGAAATGTTCTAAATAATAAAATGAGTTATCAGCAAATCATTTTTACTGTTCTCAAATCAACTGCCTATGGCGCAATTTTATGATTATTAGCAATCACCAGCACGGTCCAGGTAGGAACACGAATAAAATTAGATCAAAACAACCTCTATCAGATGTATGGCACTCATACTGACGTATTTCCATGAACCTACATATTAGTTATATGATATTGACCAAGCTGAAAAAAGTACGATATTTATTAAAAACAGTCTGAACTCGTTACAGGTCCAGACGAAATCTGCAGTTTTGTAATTGGAGATGCTTGTGGGGATGTGTACAATCCGTACCACGAATGGGAGGTCATGTTTCCACCAGTGCCTAAGCCAAAACCAGCTGAACAAAACATACCTGAGGTAAGATTTGGTTACAGTTCGTTCATTCCAAGAAGAGGCCAATAAAACCACACAGCACTGCATAATTGACATGGCTTTCACAAAACCTATTATCTAAATACTTATAGGTAAAGTAATGAATAAACATAAAAAAGTAGGCAAAATGCTGAATTAGTTCGAATTTTACCAATTTGTAGCTTTTAAGACCAATAGCTTAGGTATAATTTGCGACTGCCTATCGAAGTAGAATTTTCCCAGAAAGTCTTTCACTCTCTATTATAATTCAGTGTAAAAGTCGCCCAAATAGCACAGCAAGTAAATAGAGGGATTTCCAGCAAACTGGATGATGGAGATTCTGTGTGCAAAATATGTATAGAATTTGGGCATCTGTATTATGTAACGTGAAAACCAACATTATATCGATTTTTCATGACATTATATAGTGATGTAGATCTTTTCTGACATTTGTAGCTTTTACTATAAAATGTCACCTTTGAACTAGCTGTCATTCATTTCATGCTCACTTGTAGCAGGCGCGATATGAACGAGCGGCTACCTAGTGCACAAGTTGACATTTTACCGATTGTTTGACATCATATAGGTTTTTTTTTACGTAATAACCACGCTGGTTTCATGGCGCGTGTACCGTATCGCAACTGTCAGATGACAACTATGTATACACAGTGTTCTTTGAATTTGCGTTGTTTGTTTGAAATGCAAGGGACATCCACCAATATCTTTAGGCTCAGCAGTGATGACGATAAATCCACTTCATTATCTCAAAATACAAGTAGCCGTTTTAAAAAAAACTACCTTAATGACTTTTTTCAGACGAATGCACCAACTTTCAAAGTTCTCCACGTGTCAGACACTCACTATGATCCATACTACTTGGAGGGTAGCAACGCAGACTGTGCAGAACCACTATGCTGTAGGCTAACAAATGGACCAGCAGGCACCAAGGAACAAGCAGCTGGAAAGTAAGTACTATCCATACCAGATGGCTAGCGATAGCTGCACTGCGAGCAACATACCTCACTTCAGGAAGGCCCATTTATACACGCGATTTGTACCGCGCGTCGCGACCACTCGACAAGGTTCGACATACGGGCCTATGGTGAAGATTAATCAAATCTAGATTTATCAAAGCAAATGGCTTGATGTGTCGAAGACTAGATAGAATAAATGAGTGGATGGTGGGTGAGATCAGATTTTTTTACAAAAACACTGATGACTGCTAATATAGATTCAAAAGAAAAAATAAGAATGTCGGTGCTTTTTTAAGAAACTTCTCTCCGGCATTTTTTGCAGAACGGTCTTCTTTGGGGACAGACTAGTTCCATCACAATCAGTAAAATATCTAGGAACTATCTTGGACTGTAGACTGAACTGGAGAGAGCATGTTGAGTACAAGGTTAACAAGGCTCGTGTTAATGATGCATGCTTTTGCTTATCTTTGTTTAGAGCCAACCTGGTGAGATTGTGACAGGCTATAACACGATGAGGTGCCACCTGCATGTGATGGGGTGAGGTTCCCATTTGTGAGCGCTGCGGGGTAGAAGAAGAGTGCTTGGCGCATGTTCCGTGTCGCTGTTAGGCTCTGAGCTACTACAGGCAGACTATACTATACATTCATTCATTCTTTCCGACATGACAATTTTTAATGAATTTCGTATGGGAAGTGTAAAGTTTATTTGCGTAACACAGAGAAGCCGCCATTCTGAGAAAAATAGTTAATGACTTTGGTCATGGTACAATGCTCTGATGCTTATTATTACTGTGTTACAGATGGGGCGATTATAGGAAATGTGATACACCAAAAATAACTGTGGATAACATGTTACAGCATATTCAGGAAACCCATCCGGTAAGCTAGTAGTAATGACATTTTGTGCCATGTTATAGTCAAGTACCAAACCAAAATGGAGGAATAGCGTAGCATACGTTCCTCGAATTACGCGCACAATTACACAAAGATCGTGCTAGTAGTGGTGTGGCGCTTCCATTTTGGTATATCACTATTTTTAAATGGTAGTTAATTGAACCTGGGACATCCAGTATATTCGGGCGCTTGTGAAGTTTTGAAAAATAAAAATAACACTTTACAATGCATACACGTTGTGACTGTACTGGTTGTACTGTATGCTAATTTATTATTACCTTAATTTCGGGCCACACGTTACAATCTACGTTTTTCTTAGAGGGCCGCATCTCGAATGTTTTCCCCTTCAATCCACCTTCTTGTTGGGATTCACATATTAATTTTCTTTAAGCTCATACAATGTTTTCTTATTCTTAATTTTAGGACATAGATTACATTCTTTGGACTGGAGATTTGCCACCCCACGATATTTGGAACCAGACAAAAGAAGAAAATTTAAAAATCTTGAAGGAAACCGTTAAGCAAATGTCTGACATGTTCCCAGGGGCTCCTATCTTCCCTGCACTAGGAAACCATGAATCTGCACCTGTAAACAGGTAAAAAAATAAATTGTTTACATCCATTCTTGAAAGATGGTACAGTTTATCCGTATTGCCAAGGGAGTATTATTATATCGAAAAATTTATAAAATAAAATTGGATAACATGATTTTTTAGATATTACATCACGTGTACGTGACAGAAAATCATGTCCTTATTTTTCGACTGTCTATCGGTCTAGTCGTTGAGAGTACTTGTATATCTTTATTTTTCGGCGTTAATATATTTATAAGCGTCTGAGCCCGGTTTATACACACCTACCGGACATATTTCACATAAAGATTTCCCCATATGTTTGTCCTTAAGACGAGTAGAATGAAATATTTTTATATTTTTGATACCCCCGTCGAGCGCCATGAAAATAGGATAAAAACCCGTAGGAAGGCAGCCGCAGTCGCTATGCTGGCGATTTACTCATCGCAATTCTGATCCCGACGTCACCGTTCCATGTCAAATCGGTGGGGACTGGGGAGTAGTTGTATGGGCCCATTTGATTGACTATCTAGGGGATAACTTGTGCCGAGTATAATCTCTTATGAGCTGAGGATAGCGTTGCGTGGGAAGCGCAAAGTCAACCTACTTGATTGAAAATGACATACTATGTTTTTTTGGATGTTATATGATATGTACAACACGGAAAAGCATATAACTATCAAACATGGCGGATTATCCACATGAAACCCACAGGATTAGCTTCTAATATTACGAAAAGTTATTGTGTTATGCTAGAACTTATTATCACAGTTATTACTTCTTAGCTTTAGCACGAATTTTTACAATTATACTTTGTAGGGAAAGTTTAATCATTTCAAAAAGAATTAAGGCACTTATTGGATGTTAAATACTGATATCTATCGTAGCTATGAGGAATACCGTATTATGATTTTCTTTTTAGTTTTCCACCACCATTTGTGAATAGCCCCGAAAGCTCAATATCCTGGTTATACGATGAACTGGACGTTCAGTGGCGCAAATGGTTGCCTACATCTGTGAGCAATACGGTTCGAAGAGGAGCTTTCTATTCAGTATTAGTCAGGCCTGGCTTCAGATTAATTTCGCTCAATATGAATTACTGCAACAATAAAAATTGGTAAGAAATTAACCCTAAAACACGCATTTCAAAATTATTCTATAAAATAACTCTTGTGGAGCCAAAAGTTCCCTAGTGATCTACGTCTGCTTTCATTCATCCGTATACTAATTTCAGGTGGCTACTACTTAATAGTACAGATCCGGCAACTGAGCTACAGTGGTTGATATATGAGTTGCAGTCTGCCGAATTCAATGGAGAAAAAGTTCATATAATCGGTTAGTACATCACCCTTTGAAAGTTGCATCTAATTTGGATAGCTTATTTACAAAAATTGTAACTTTTATGATTGATCCTGTATTGCAGAAGAACTTTGAACCAACGTCTAGACATGTTTGTGTTACCTGATTCGAATACGTAAAGTTGTATGTACACGGTGGCCAATATATAACTGACTAATTTAAATTGCGCGCCATTTTTGATACACGTATTTCAGTAGGAGGCGCCGTAGTAGTTCTTTGAAGCACATGTGTCCAAATAATCATGGAACACTACACGATCCCACAACGCGTCCGTATTGTTAAAACGTTTTACTTAAATAATGAGTCGATTTTTGCAACGATTCGGAAGCTACGACAAGATTTCGGCCGAAATAATGTTCTCAGTCAACACTATTCGTCAGTAGGTGCGAAAATTTGAACAAAAAGGTGAAGTTAAAGACTTGCCAAGACCGGGCCGTGTTCGAACTGTTCGTACTCCGGAAAATATCGAGAGTTCGCGAAAGTGTAGTGGGGCGCCCTGAGACGTCTACCAGATATCATTCTCAAGAACTGGGTATTCGTCGCACGTCATTATGCACTATTTAAAAAAAAGAAGACGCTGCAGGTTCTCTTACCGTCACTGGAGATCGCTACCGTAATATATGGTGCAAAACTTCCTGGCTCCTCAAATCCAACAATTTAACCTGTAAAACAGCAGGATGGAGCATTTTGACACATAGCTAGAGAAACAATGAATATTTTGCGAACAGTATTTCCGCGACGTTCAATTTCTCGATTTGGTGATGTCAACTGGCCACCTAGGTCACCGGATTTAACGGCTCCTGACTTTTTTATGGAGATTTTTGACAATTAGCTTTTATGCCAACAAAGCAAGTACTGTAGAGCAGTTGAAGAACAATATTACGGAAGCGATTGAAAATATTCCTCCCGAAACCTACCAAAAAGTGATGGAAAATGTAATCGAGAGGGCTCAAGTTTGCGCGGCTTCTAGAGGCGGACATTTGTCTGATATTATTTTCTAAGTTTTGATAAAATATTAACGTGAAAAAAATGGACGTACTTTATTTCATTCAACAAATACTCAAGATACAAACCAGTCAGTTACATATCGGTCACCCTGTATAACCTCCGCATTCGTTAACATATCGTGGACATTTCATGTTAAATTGGATTCTGTACTAATATATCTTTCTGCCTCAAACCCAGAGTAAAAACGTATCGATTATTTGAAGAAACAACTTAATTTTCAGGCCATATTCCACCTGGCCATTCAGACTGCTTAAAAGTCTGGTCAAGGAACTACTATGCGATAATTAGTCGGTATGAAGCAACCATAACAGCCCAGTTCTTTGGACATACCCATTACGACGAGTTTGAGGTATTTTACGATCACAAAGATATAAGTAAGTATTGTTATTGTTATCCAACTTAAAAACAGATTGCATGTGATTTGCATTATGCTTTATTGCACTGTCCTTCTGCTATTCGACTATTACACTTGAACATTTCTTGCTTATTATTTTTATTCAGCATCGTAAGTGAATAGCTATGTTGTTGCTTTATAGGCAGGCCTATTAGCATAGCTTACGTTGGCCCATCTGTGACGCCATATTATGACCTAAATCCTGGCTATAGGATATATTATGTTGATGGAGATCACGACAAGTCAACTAGAGTAAGTTTCAATTATTCAACAGTCTGTAATTCTTTAATCAATCCTAAGTTCATATTTTCTAATCCTAGATTATCTTTTTGACCTAATATTCATTTTTTTCTAAGATTTATATTTTATTTAGGCTGTCATTGATCACGAGTCATGGACCATGAATCTCAGGGAAGCCAATTTATATGGATATCCAATATGGTTTAAACTGTATACGGCTAAGCAGGCATTCGGAATGGACGCATTGAGGCCGCAAGATTGGGATGACCTTGTCAGCAGAATGACCAATGATCCAAAATTGTTTGAATTATTTTATAAGTAAGTTTATCGAATTGTTGGTTATATACTTAGGAGGGGGTTATGTAGATTGTTATTGATTCCATTATCGCAGCCATATCTTGCAAGTAGGGTCACAGAAATCCCCTTAAAAGCAATGGAAAGAAAGGAAACTGTTTATTATTAAACATGACATCAATCATGATTAGCAACAGGCAATACGATTTCCAGCACCAGCGATCCACAGGGGATCTCCTAGCTTAACGTCACACAACTGTGTGGACCAACCTCATCCAGTTTTATGGTGAGGCTCATGTAGGTGCCCTTGATATAACGAAAGCATTCGATCAGCTGTGTTATGCTGCCTTTTATGCAAACTTCCATCCTGTCGCCTTCCAGAGAAGCTTTGAAGATGGGTGTCCGACTTTCTCTCTGATCGCAAGATATTGGTCGTACTTGACGGAATTTTCTCTTTATCCCAGAACGTCAACGCGGGTGTTCCCCAGCGAGCGGTCTTGGCCCCGACATTGTTCCTCGTACATGCTAACGACCTTCTTTTCTCTACGATCAATCTGATCTACAGCCTTGCTGATGACAGCGCTCTACATGCAGGAATCCGAGGTACCAGGAGGTGATCACTGCTTTGGGTCGCAATAATCTGATACAGTTTAATGCTTCTAAAAGATAGTTGTACTATACCTTGACTAACAAGAAGCGCCCTAGCGCTCACACAGTTTGGTGGATGGCCGAGATCTACCAAAGAGTGATGCATTTCGGCTGGTTGGAGTCCAGATCTTTTCTCCAAATGACTTCCTCACTCTGTACATGGTCCAGATGATACCTATCCACGAGTACTGCTCTCATATTTGAGGTACTGCCGCCCCGACTACAATATCCATAATCGATGCTGTTCAGAGGATGGCTGTTCGACTGGTCGATGGCTCTGATCTAAGAGACAGTCTTGGGATCCTTTCACATTGGCGGGCCGTCGGCGATATTACTCTCTTCTACCGCTACGCCATTGAGCTTTGCTCCTCAGAGCTCTCCTCGATGATTCCGCCGACGATGTGCCTACCAGACAGAGCCGCCTTGCTTCGGCCTCCCATCCTAATGGTGTCGAACTTCGTGTGTCCAGAACTGGCCGATACGACCGATTCTTTGTTCCTGGGGTATCGAGATTGTGGAACAATCTACCCGAGGTGGCCTTTTTCAGTTCTACTAACCTTAGGCAGTTCAAAAGTCGAACCTGCCAAGCAAAAATCACCCCTCAAATCCCCTTGTAATTATTCCTAATATTATCTATTCTCAGAATCTTTGAACGTTGGAAAAGGAAATCCTAGAATCGCCCATTATGCAAGCTAACGGTTTCATGCTAAAAAAGGCATGCAGGTTGCAGACGTGCTTTCTTGGTGAAACTTCAATCATAATTATGTCTCATGCGGTATCAATACAACTTTGTTCTAGGTATTATTATAAAGCTAGTCCAGTAAGACCAAGCTGTGACATGGAATGTAAGAAGAAAATATTATGCGATCTGCATTCTGGTAGATCACACGATAGGAAGAACTTGTGCGAAGGTATCGAATCTAGGATAGATTCTACGGCGAACACAAGTTGGAAAGAATGGTTTTATAACACCATTTCTGTCTCGTAAGTTTAATATTCATTACAAATTTCAGAAAAATATTTTGCTGTAAATAAAAATTAATGCTATATATTTTTCAAGGGGATGAGGTACTTGGACGGAACGCATATTTGAATTAGATATGATTTTCAGCGACAATACTGATATATATATATATATAGAGAGAGAGAGAAAATGACCATGCGGAGAAAGGTATATAACAAAAAAAGTAGGAAAATAATGGGCAAAATCCGCAAAAAGGATGAAAGTGGTTTCGAGCAGAAAATAGGATAGGTAACCCGAGAGATGCGTATTTCTGCTGGTTGGCTTCATCAGGCCCGAAATGAATGTACATATGCAACTACAAAAGTAGATACACATGTCCACACATCCGGATACGGGTGTAACCTGAGGAAACGAAGATGGAGAGGGGAAAAATCGACACACGAAGTCCACAACAAGAGCCAATTTTCTACACATTGTAGTATAAAATGGCTAGAAGACCTTGCATTTTCAAGGAGACATCTAACCACAACCATGCGATCGTTTTCTCTTTGTAGATCCTTTGGGCTTGAAGCACCACAGCAAGTGGCTATAACCAGCCGCGTGTGGACAAGTGTACTCGTATCTACTTTTGTAGTTGCATATGTACTTTCATTTCGGGCCTGATGAAGCCAACCAGCAGAAATACGTATCGCTCGGGATACATATCCTATTTTCTGCTCGAATCCAGTTTCTTCTTTTTTGCGGATTTTGCCCATTATTTTCCTACTTTTTGTTATATATATATATATATATATATATATATATATATATACGTGAGCAGTAGTCATTTCCAAAGCCAACGACCAGTTGGGCACAAAATACAATTAATTGTTAATTGGGAAATTGGCAAATTTTTAGGGTTTGGGAATGTATATATATATACATTCCCAAACATGAGGCAAGGATTTCATGTGTGCCTCTTGGGACTATACTGAGACTATTGTAATTGATCCTCTCGATTTGTGAAACATCTCTTGATTCCGGAGAAACAGACCCCTGAAGGGGACATCGTTGCATAACAAAAATTATAATTTTTACTTTCCAAACCTGTAACTTTTTTCTGGTTGACTGTATTAAAAAACCATTCCACAAAAATCCTTTTCACTTTTTAAGATCTGATGCATAGCAACGGAATGAACGACAAAAAAGATGTATCTGGGGTATTTAGATTGGTCAGAAATTAAGCACACGAGCATGTACAAGATAGCCTAATGACAGCTGAAAAATCAAAAAGATTTTAAAATTTTTTTAGCCACTATCTACCGCAGAATCTAGATCTGTTCCTTACGCACAATATTCCAGTCACCTCTATCCAAATTTTCAGCCATTATATAACTTTGTTAGGTTGAAGGTGTTCATTAATTGGGCTAATAACCCGAAACACATATCCAAGTCTGATGCTGTACATGTAGTCAGATGTTGAATAATGCGTTTTACATGAAGTAAGTAAGTATATAAAACGTCAAAAAAACCTATAAGATGTCATCTTGCAAACTAGGAAGTTTTTAGGGCGCAAACAGTCATTCCACGTTTGCTCACTAGGATCATTGTGAACGTCCATCTAAGGAGGAATCACTCAACTAAACTAAACGCATTATTGGTTGCATATGTTTTGTGAGACCAAATGGTTCTTGTCTGTAGTTTTTATCTCTGAGAAGAAAGTGGGTTGAGTAGCAAGATCGCATCTGGATGATTATGTGTATTGGTCTGCATGTGTATAAAATCAGTGATATTTGCTGTGTGAGAAAATCATTACTGAATATGCTGCCAATCAAGTATATCTATTGGCTGTGCCCGACCGGTTGTTTTTATGTTGTGCTGTCTGAAGAGAGGTTATGTTATAAATTACGAAAAACTGAGGAGAATTACGGGAAATCATCACCGCGCCCGCGTTGTATGTAATTACTGTGAGCATGTATATGGCTTGTAATTCGACAGTGTACAGTGAGTATAATTATTTCTTATCTATCTCATTTTTTAAATTCAGCAAGTTTGTAGGTATATATAATTTCCAGAATGGATAAGAAAAAGTGAATGCACAACTAGCTTTGAATCTCAATTAAGTGTATTTGAGACAAGAACCCAATGTAATTATCATTAACACATACAACTTACAGCTTAGACCTCCAGTAATGCCATCTCTGAAGCAGATTTTACATCACATCAGAGCAAAAGATTGATAGCAAGCCTCATGACGTTTAGGCAACACGTACAACTAAGTGCTAAGTTAATATCTTGTAGAAAAACCTACATAATGTAAAAAAACAGCATAATGTAAAAAAAATCGGCATAATGTCACTTTTCAAGTTACGTGATACCCGTCCGGTACATAATATATTATAGTTGTTTGATATTTATTTTTATGATCATTATTTAGTCAGTTCACCAAAATTGCAATTCATTCACGTGTACACGGCCCAAACGTGCAAGGATGAAATATTGCTTCAGGAAATGAACTTCCTCAATAACTGTTTAGGATTATTCTGCACCTTCCCCATGGGAATACGTTTCAAAAATATTCAGGAACATACAGGGTATCCGAAAATTAAATAAAGTTACATCCTTGAGATCTATAGATGTTTACATATTTGGATGGACTCGGTAGTGGATTTAGAATTTGTGGACTTGATTATGCATACATTTTTTCACTCTGGGGCCTGAGACAGCGTGCTCACTTGACTCGTCCGGGGCGTCATCTTAAATCCACCCTTAGATGGACTTTCATAATTCTGATATTTTTGGTGAAATAATAATTATTATATATTCCGTATAACATAATGGAAGTATGCCAAACAGTACCTCGACTTCTTTAATAGATAAAGTACCGAATTCTCTCTTAAAAGATATAATCTCCAGTTGATAGGTAGTTTATCCACTTATTGCATTGATCGAGTCAACTAGGCAAAGAGAGATCTCGCAAAATCATTTGTTCATTAAAACAGGACACCCTGTGTAAATACACATTATGAAATTCCACTATGCCTAAGATGTTTTTAGATACCTATTCAAAGTGTTTATGCGAAGACATTAGAATCTTCTAAAAATGCAACTATTTCACTATATTCATTAAAGTGGTTGGGATAGTGGCTGACAAGTGTATTAGACAAAATATATATATCCTAAAAAGTACAACGAACAAACCGCTGGAGAATTTAGGCTTATCAAAATCTGTACTGAAAGATGAGTATCTATAAAAAGCAACTTTTATATGCTGCTTACCTTACAGGTATATAATCCTGAGATTTTTGAATGGTGCAGAATAATCCTGAACAGTTTTTGGAAAAAAAATTCTCGGAACAATATTTCAAACAACCAAGTTTGAGTCACCCTTTACACGTGTTAGAATTCCAACGTTGGTGAACTAGCTAGTAGGGATGATGATGAGAATGTGAAGGAATATCAAACAACTATCATATATTCGTGTCATGAACCCACCTCATGCTGTAATAAGTTAGGCAGTATCCAACTTGGACGACCTGTGTCTTGAAAATCGCTCTAGAAAACGTTTGCGCCAATTGACATTTTTGCTGTACATGTTGAGATCTTTATTTAACATACAACATTTTCAGAAACAATAGCCGAAAGCCATACCCGTTAACGTTTTTGCGGTGTCTGTTAATCCATGTGCCAAATTGCACATTGTGTGGATTTAGAGACGTCTAATGACAGATAGTTCAAACAAAAATAGAAACAAGAATCAAAAAATAAATATATATATATATATATATATACATTCTACTATCAACTTCAAAATTTAATTTAAATTTTGTTACATTGGACTTCGAAAAAGGCTATCGAGCAGCCGGAACTTTAGCATTGTAGTTTATTTATAAACATTAAGTATGTGCAAATAGTCAGAGAGAACATACAGGATAAGTTACATGATGAGCTGAACCATGTTCTAATGCATCGTGTTTTAGGTTGTATCATTACCCGTGTTAGTTACTGTTTGTAGATAAAGTCTTAAGGTTCAATATACTTTTTCTGGCCATTGAATATGTTTAAGCATTTCGCTATTTTTTATGAAAGACACATGCATTGCACATCATTGCTACCGATAGATTGATATTTTTGGGAAAGAACTCTTATCCACTCAGATTATACGAGCTATTGCTTCTGTAGCAGAATAAACCTCAGCCATTGAATCTGATCTCCCCCTTGCTGAAGTAATGAAAAACATTCTGCAGGAGGGTAAAACAGCCGATTCCTCCGTTATGCTACTATCACGCGTTATTGCTTGCAATCCCTTGGATGGAATACGATACTTTCCTATTTTCCAATATTACGTTTGGGTTTTGCGCATGACTAGTTAAAATGCTCTTCAATTTTCGCAACGTAAAACTTAGTCAAGTATAGTTTAGCTTTCATTCAATACATGTTAGGTACATTTTTACCTGGCTCAGAAGGAGGGATACGTTTTTTTCTATTTCACAGGCTACAAGTGAAACGGCATGCTGGCTTTTGAGATATGAGACGTCGTTGAATTCGGCTTAGCAGTGCGAGAGACACTGGCTATATTAACATTTTATAGAAAGCAAAATGGCGGATTTTAAAAATAGTTCAACCTTGAAATTTCTATTTCACGGTTGGTGGATTTTGACATATGACGTGTTTCTAGATTTGTCTTGACAGTGCGGGCGACATTGTGTATACTAAATAAAGCTTTATAAAAACAAAATTACGGATTTTAATTAAAAAATTTACTTCTTTATGTTTTGTGTGAAAGAGACTCGGAAATATTACGAAAACAACAAATCGAGATTGATTACAAAAATGTCTAATTATCATCTAAGTACCTCACCTCTTAAGTAAAACTGATTTTTCTAACAGATTCTACGATATTATAAGCTTTTGTAAATATTCTTCAACTAATGTTTTTTCTTTATAGCCTGGTGTAGGGAGTTGCAATAGGTTTACGCAATACACTTTTAGGTATGTGCCAGATTCACACATTTTTATTACCTCTCACAACTTTTTTCAAATATTTTTTTGGGTTTTAAAATGTCACCAATACTGAAAATGTGCTTAATGTAGGTATTGCTCAATTGCTTTCTCAGATGCATCAGCTAACATAGTGAAGCTGCGAATGGTGTAATACGATGAAGTGAAAAAAATATTAGCTGTACAAGATTTTGATCACTTCTTCCATGTGTTTTTACTATATTAAGTATTTTCTTTTTGGTGGTATTGCTAAATTTTTGGTTAATTTACGAAGAGGTTCCTACACACGGGTGTTTGTACTAAAGGTTCAAAGGTTTCCTTACTTGTGTATATTATTTGTGGAGCATGTAACATTTTACATATTCTTGGCCCAAAACGTAACATACGTATAGTATATGTGTAGGAACTATCTGAAACAAGTGTGTTGTGCTGACATTTAAAGAAAATATTTGGTTTTTGTTTTTAGAGTGTCATTTCTGGTATCAATTCCAAGGTACACCATGAAACTACCAAGATATGTCCTCGGATTAGGCTAGATTATTTTTTAATTGCAAGTAGTGTCAATTTTAATTTCAGAGTATTCGCGAAAAATGATATTTTCGTTGTACTCAGTGTATTTGTACAGGTTTTTTACTTCTCTTTCGAAAAAATTCTCAATGTATTAAGTGTGCGAATGGATTGATTTTTGTGTTGAATGACATTTAGCTAATTTTAAGTACATCGTAATTATGTCACTCAAAGAAGAGAATAGAAGGCTGTGTATTTCTAAACATGAAAAGATAACACTGAGGCAAATAAGTTGAAGTATTTGAGTATTCAACATCGAATGAGTCAAAGCTTCATTTACGTGTCGAATATTGACATTTTATCCTTTTAGCCGTCATGTTCATATCTGAATCAAAATTTCGCCGAAATCAAAGATCAAACCACACGACAATTATGTACCTCCTTATATATTGTTTGTTGTATTCCAAAAAGTCACTAACATATATTTCTATTTCCCACTATAAAAATATGCAGCAATAAAAAACATTGAGCCGAAGACATTTATCATTCATCAACAAACGAGATAAGGTTTTCCATTGGGATCCGAACCAAATCGAAGTTTTGGCCTTTATCTGAGGATGTAGCCTCAGAGCTTCAATCACATTTGACCTTCTATCTTGCACCACATTATTTTGTATCGTGCCAGCCTCTTGACGTCCAAAATAAAGAAATACTTTCTAAGTCCATTTGTCACAAAATAGTGGACAGTAATGTTATTTCAAATATATAGTTGACTTATGTCGTGCGCTTCCAAAAAGCATGTTCTGGTATTGGGAGTTAGATTGAATTGACATGAGTAAGCTGAATCGAAATTTGACTCATTCGTAGTTGAAGACTCTGTTTATGAACAACAAGCATTCCATTGTGGTTCTTGAAGTCAGTTAATTCAATTTTGGATCTACAAATAACATTTATCAGCAACGACAGTTAGTTTTATCACATTATTTTATTCTTGGAATACATGGTATACCAGACCTTGTTATTCTTGTCGTGCATGTGTTTTTATCTTTAACTGGAATTTTAGCTCAGCAAAATTATTAAGTTTGTTACGGAAAGGAAGCATATCTTTGTAAAAAGTTGTTAGTTGGTATACATCAGAAAAAATGTGCTTTACATATAATATTTAATTCATAGGTTTGTAAAATTAGTCTGTAGAACGAGGATATTTTGTAATAAAGACTTTATGAGTAGAGGCATGTATTTTTAATTATTCTTGTTTCTTGAAACCGGGTTATAATATTAAGTGAACTGAAAAGTTCTGTCCATTCCAATATCAACAATTTTCGGTCGGTATCCTCATCCTTATACTTGTATCACTAAATGTGTGGAGGGTTCCGTGAGAGAATCGACATACAGAAATGGTAACTGGTATGGAGCGCGACTTTTTTATATTTGAAATGAAAACAGTTCTAAATTCATAGTTTACGGATATACAGGGTGATTCATCTGAATACGTCAAATCCGATTTTAATTTACTTCTCAAGAATAGCCTTCAGCTGGTTGGTTACAGCTGTTTGTATGTTTTAGAACGTCCAAAATGAGTTTCCATGAGGTGATTTTTCACCTTCAGAAAGAAAAAGAAAGACACAAGGACTCAAGTCAGGCGAATAAGGAGGCGGGGGAGCCACATGAATGTTTTTACTGGACAAAAACTCGTTGATTGATATAGCTGCGTGACAAGAAGTATTATCGATGCAATATCTAGTTGTTATTTATCTGATAAATGGTGGTGTTAGTCAAATATAACTCTTCGCCGATCATTCTGAATGTCAACCGACGATATGAACGGACAGCATCTCGGATTCTGTTGATATTTTCATCGGTTCTTGAAGATCAAGGCCTTTTCCTTTGTGGTTCATATTCAGTCAACTATCTCTTTACTGAAATTGCCTTAAACCACCGAAAAACCTGAGCTCTCCGTGGGCTTGTTTAGCAAGAGTTTCCATTGCACAGTGCTGAAGTCTGAAGCAAAGCAAAACCTGATAGCACACCGAGAGAGTTCAAACTTATACTGAAGGCGGATCACATGTTCCCCTATCTCGCATATTGCAACGACGAGGAGGTCACTCCTGATTATCTATTAAAATGTGATAGATAGGTTGACTACTAGGGGCAGCTCGACGAGGAGCTCACTGCTGACAGTTTTTCCAGCCAGATAGGCGAAAAAAAGTAGGTTGGGATTCAACCAATGTAGGCCTGAATATCTAAAATTTTGGATAAAAAATGCAATAAGCTGTTTTACAAAGAAATTATTTTCTTGATGGTATATTAAACAGTCTCTCATCGATAGACACAAAGAATTTAGCTGGATAACCTTTTGCATTATACGTCAGAGTTCGAGAAACCACCTTTTCGCGTGCGTTCAAATATTTATGAATTATTTTTGTATTAGTGTAAGTACTGTAAGTGATCCAAAAGAGTTGTAGGGGATGAAAATACCTTTAAAATGAGATTTACTCGATCAGATCAGTTTGCTGTAACGTTAATTTTTCTTAGAAAAAAATATCGATGTCTAAAGTTGAAGCATCAACAAAAAATTATTAAAAATGTCTAACAGTTTTTGCAAAAAAATTTCGAGAAAACTGGCCATCTTGTACCATCAAATGGCCTCATATTGGGGTCATTATTTTGCTAGAGACTTAGTTTAACATCATATTGAGAGAGATACCAGATTTTTTCTTATACTTGCTATGTAGAAAAGCGTCACCAATGGTACATTATTTTTGTTGAACTTTTTGGGGCGAAATAAAGTTTTTTCCTAAAGAAATCTCCAGAGCAATAGTTATCAACATTTTAACGGTCGAAATTTAGCTCACGTATAAAACAAGATTTAAAGTCTATTTCAGATTAACTGTTATGCATTTTCCGTTAAAAAAGTAATTATAGAAATATCAGATTTTTTTTCATAACAAATTAGCTCTTAGAGACACCTATACACTTGAAGAGGTATTGTGGAAGCACAGATTTTATCATCTCCTGGGTCCCATAAACCACTTTCTGGGGCCCTCTTGAGTCCCGCGGCCCCACAACTCTACGTCGTCTGCGACTTCCGCCGCAGGTTACAGCAAATTATTACTTCAATTTGTTGATTTTTGGCTAGTTAGCTTGGTCTAACAGAGAGGCGGAAGATCATGAGCAAGGTAAGGCTGGTTGTGCAGTTTATTTAAGTGTACAGTAAAATGCAAAACAGAAGCGAGAAACACAAAAAATTCAAATAATCCAATTTTTTTTTTAAACATATAATTGGCATTGGAAGTTATCCATTTGCCACAGATGTGTGTTACTTATATTTCTCTAATTATGGACAAACACACGACGTCACAACATCCATGGCGAAGGCGAGATTCGAACTCGCGGCCCGGCCGGCCGGCTGATCAGCAGCACGACACTCTGACCAACGCGGCCAACCGAGGCCCCCAAATAATCCAATTAACACTAGACAAAGAGTCTAGGTGTTCACTTTCGGGAGGCAACCAAGAGACTCAAACGTCCAGTTACGTTAATTTCTCAAATAGGATTTAATCTGGGCGAGAGATAAGAAACAAAGAACTTAGCTTTTTGTAGATTATTTACCTTCCACATATCCAGTTTTTTTTTTAATATATCGAAGCAGCCGCACAGGCAGAAGCCTACATGCCGGAACACCGCGGCTGCTATGATGATCCCAAAGAAATTTTATTAATACGATTTTTGAACTGCCTAAGGTTAATAGAACTTGGAAAAGCTTCCTCTTGTAGATTGTTCCACAATCTCGACACCCTCGGGACAAAGGAGCGGTCGTATCGGCCGGTTCTGGATGTACGAAGTTCGACACGGTTAGGATGGGACGCCCAAGTTAGGCGGGTCTGTCTGGCAGGCACATCGCGCGACGGCATCATGGAAGAGAGCTCTGAGGAGCAAAGCCCGTTGGTGTACCGGTAGAAAAGAGCCAGATTGCCGACAGAGCGCCGGTGCGAAAGAGTCCCGAGACTGTCTGTTAGAGAAGAGTCATCGATCAGTCGGACCGCCCTCCTCTGGACAGCATCGAGCATGGATAATGTAGTCGGGGCGGCAGCACCCCAAACGTGCGAGCAATACTCGAGGCTAGGCCTTATCTGGGCCTTGTATAGAGTGAGAAGGTCATCCGGAGAAAAGTACTTCTTAGCCCTAAACAAATAGCCTAGCTTTTTTCCAGCAGCTGCAGCTATTGACGAGATGTGTTTGTGCCAGATCAGGTCCTCGGTGATCTGTACTCCGACCAGCCGAAATGAATGGCTCTTTGGCAGAACTCCATCCATCGAAACCGGTTGAGCGCAGGGACGCTTTTTGTTCGTCAAAGTACAGTACTGCGTTTTGGAAGCATTGAAGTGTACAAGATTGTTGCGTCCCCAAGCAGTGATAGCGTCCAGGTCTCTTGTCAGAGAGGAAGTCATCGCTAGTCTTCTTTTTTCCAACTCAGCGGTCACTCTGAATTTCTGCATGTAGAGTGCTGTCATCAGCGAAGCTGTAGATTGGGTTGATCGTGCAGGAGAGGAGGTCGTTGATATGTAAGAGAAACAGTGTTGGAGCCAAGACCGATCTCTGGGAACACCCGCGTTGACGTTGTGGGATGAAGAGGAGAACCCGTCAATTACGACGAATATCTTGCGGCCAGAGATAAAGTCAGCCACCCATCTGGGAGGCCATAGGATGGAAGTTTGCTTAAGAGGGCAGCGTGCCACAGCTGATCGAAGGCTTTCGTGATGTCAAGAGAAACGACATGAGACTCACCATAAGACTGGATGAGTTTACTCCACAATTGAGTGACGTAAGCTAGGAGGTTCCCTGTGGATCGTTGGTGCCGGAAACCATACTGCCTGTCGCTAATCAAGCCGTGACGTTCGAGGTAGTCCAGAAGCTCGCGATTTATGCACCTCTCCATCACCTTACTTAAAACAGAAAGCAGAGATATAGGCCTGTAGTTGTGAGGGGTCTAAGATCCCTTTTTTGGGATGGGTTGAACATGAGCAAATTTCCAGTTTGCTGGGAAGGTGCCGGATTCATAAGATATCTGGAAGAGACGCGAAAGAACTGGAGCAACCTCCGGTGCACACCTCTTCAGTACAATGGCAGGAATCAAGTCCGTACCAGAAGCTTTATTGATGTCGAGCGACAAGAGCGCTCGTCTTACGGTCTTATGCCTGAATCTTACCTCCCGCATAGTGTAGGGAACCCTTTGAATTGACGGCACTTGGGCGTTGGGGGGTCGTACATGGTGGAGTTGGCAGCAAAGATCTTGGCTAGCACTTCCGCCTTGGCCATTGAGTTGAATACAATAGTTCCATCCTGACACGTAAGTGGTGGAAGGCTACTGTGTGAGAAGTTCTTTTCAATCTGCTTGGCCAGCGTCCAGAAAGACCGAATCCCATTGCGCTGCGACATTACCCTGTGCCTAACTTTTGTATCATGCTGGTTTTTGGCATTGCGAACCGCTGCTTTATATTTGTTTCTTGACTCAACGTCGGCTTGTCTGTTCTCTACAGTGGGGTTTTGTAAGAAGGTTCTGTGTGCCTTAATCTTCTGCTGGCGAGCAGCGTCACACGATTTGTAAAACCAGCCGTTGGACCCTGGTCTAGGCACTTTCACTGTGTGAGGGATGTATTCCTCCATTCCGACGTGGATAATTTCGGTTATCGAAGAACAGACAGCCGACGCATCCGCGTCAGTGAAACAGACATCTTTCCAAGGAAAGCTAGAGAAGAAATCTCTGAGCCCCTCCCAGTCAGCATGTCCGTAATGCCAAGTTTTGCGGCCTGTACGAGTTTCTGCTGCCACAGCGGGTTCTGACCGAAACCTAACCTCCACAACACCGTGGTCTGAGTTAGCCAGGGGGGACAGGACAGCAGTGCTGTAAGGGGCAGGATGCGTGGTCAGAAAGAGATCCAGCAGGCTACTGGCGTGTGATGAGACGCGGGGAAAAAAAGTAGGACTCGTCACCAGCTGAGTCAGCCCTTGGGTAAGAGCGAACGCTTCGACTGCACGACCTGCTGCGTCGGTCTTGTTTGAGCCCAACCAAAGCTCGTTATGGGCATTGAAATCACCGAGAAGAACTACCTCTGAAGCGGGATTGATGTTCAGGAAGTCGATCTGGACGGCGAGGTATTCGAGTAGGTCATCCCAGTTATGGTCCGAGGGAGAGCGATAAAGGCAGCAAATAAACTTGGGTGATGTTTTG